AACAACAGGCAGGGTTCCAATATATTAATTAAACCTCCCAAAATTTAGGAAGTAGGTCCCAGTATTATCCCCATTTAACAAATGGTATTATTCCATCTTACAGAGTGAGACACAGAAAGACTAAGTTACCCAGTTAGTAAATAGCAGAGCTATGACTAGGCATGTGGTTGCCCTGCCCCAGTCCTCCTGTTGACCCAGCAGGACCCATTTCCCACTCACACCCTCCTGATCTGGCCCTCACAGATGACAACAATGGAAGCAGTGGAGTCCCCCGAGTCTCTGGCTGCTGTAGCTTACCTGCTGAACCTTGTCCTAAAGCGGTGAGTCCTGGTTCTTGCTTGAACCCTAGGTGTCTTCGTGGAGATGGGAGTATGGGTGGGAGGTGATGAGCAGAATCAGGAATCACTAGAAGGAACTCCAGTGTCAGGTGGCATTCTACAGCATCAGGCTTTGGCAGTATCTTGGGATCTAATACCAGGAAGTGTGAGTATTGAGGACCTAGGAAATGAGCAGGGCAGGGAAAGAGGCATAGAATGAATGTTACTACTGGCCTCACTGGAGATCTGTAGCCAGGGCACAGGTGGTAAAAGATTAGTGTGAGCTTAGTAGGGCCATCTTATGGAGGACTCAGGGGGTGGGCATTGGAGAAGGTGAGGGAGGTGTTACTGAACAGGGTGTCAGAAAGGATGGCGCCGGTAATACTTCTCTTGTCAGCTTTCTGCTGTGCACCACGTGGGGCTGCCCCAGCCTTGTGGACTTTACCTTCTGTGCTCTCTCCCCACAGTGTGCCCAGCCCTGTTCTCATGAAGAAGTTCTCTGACACCTCCAAAGCCTTCTCGGACATCCTGTCGGCTCAGACCAGTAGCGGCTCCACCTCAGCCCTCCGATGGGTTAGTGTTTGGGTCTCAATTTCTCCTCTGCCATCTTTCATAGCCTGTCTGATTTGGCTGAAGCTTGCACGCTGCCTGAGAGGAGTTTATGTGCTCTGTGAACCCTCAAATCAATCCCTTTGAGACTTTTTGGAATTGGTGAGAACTTGGTTTCCTTCCTCTCCTGGTCAAGACTGGTGGCACTAAGAGACTGCACCTGTCTTCTTCAGGTCCTCTCCTGCCTGGCCACCCTTCTGCGGAAGCAAGACCTAGAGTCCTGGAGCTACCCTGTGACCCTGCAGGTGTACCATGGGCTGCTGAGCTTCACCGTGCATGCCAAGCCCAAGGTGAGATTGCTGCACTCCAGAAGTTGGTAGGGGGCAGCACACAGCCACCCCTGGGGTCCAACCCTGATGCTGGCCTGTTGGAGTGGGGTGGGAGATGTGGCTCTGAGAACCAGACTCTTGTCACGAGGCTCTGCTTCCTGACTCTGAGGCTGCATCTGCTAAGATGGAGAAGGCAGGGGCAGCTGTCTTTGTGAGAGGGATGCTCTCTGTCAGACCTTCTACGTCTCTGGTGCCTTATCTGTCCTGATATGGACTCTCTAGCAGGTGCAGTTACAGTGACGGGGAGGGGGACACAGTTGGATATTGTTTTCTGCTGTGGTTTGATTTTGGTCATGGTGTGTAATCTGTCTGAGCCTCGGCTTCCTGACTGAAGCCAAGATGATAGTACGGACCCTGATGTAAGGCTATGAGGAGACTCCGTGCTCCCACAGGCCTGGCTCAGCAGGGCATCCTTACATAGGGGTTCTCACTGAGATTCAGGACATGGCTGCACAACAGTAAGCTTAGTCATAGTCATCACTACCTTCTGCAGTGATGTGCATGGTCTTTTCCTCACTTTCTTTGAGTTGCCACAGAAATATGATAGCATTGGCAATACTATTTTGACCACCCTACATAGGCAGACCTCAGAGAAACTGTGGGTTTGGTTCCAGACTCCCCAATAAACTTAAGTATCAAGATAAAGCCAGTCACATATTTTTTTTTATTTCCTAGTATGTATTAAAGGAGCTCTGGTAGTGTAGTGCTTGCGAATTGGGCTGCGAACCTCAAGGTCAGCAGTTCGAAACTACCAGCTGTTCCGTGGGAGAAAGATGAGGCTTTCTGCTCCTGTAAAGATTTACAGCCTCGGAAACCCTATACAGGGTTGCTTTGAGTTGGAACTGACTCCACACACATAACAACACATAACAACAACAACAACAACAGTACGTATTAGGACTCTTGGTGTGATGCTGTAGGATACACACTGGATTGTGGACCACAAGGTCAGCAGTGCAAACCCACCAGATGCTCCTCAGCAACTCTGTACAGGGTTGCTGTGAGTCGGAACTGACTCATTTAACAACAGAGCACATACATTATGCTGTGGTCTATTATGTGTGCAGTATTGCTAAGTGCTGTCGAGTCAGTTCCGACTCCTAGTGACACAGTATAGGGTTTTCGGGGACCATTTTGGTGTGTTTGAACCGCTGACCTGTCGGCCCAATGCATTATCCCACAGCGCCATTATGGAGAAGTTGGAGAGATTATGAGAATGACTAAAACATGACACAGAGCCACCAGAGTTACTCCACACAGGGTTACGGCAGACCTTTCATTTGTAAAAACCCACACAATATCTGTGAGGCGCTCTAAAATGAGGTATGCTTATAAAAAGCAGCACCTCTCTGTAAAGTACTGTAACCTGCCAGTGTTTCTTTTTCCTCTCCCAAATAGAATATGACTTGTCTGCTTGGTGTCTTTTGTCACATTGCTAGCACCAGTGGGGAATGGTTGGGTAATGAATGACTCACTCTCCAAAGGTGAGAGTGCCGAGACCGGAGGTTAGCTTGCTCAGGCCATTGAGTGTGTTGGTAGTAGGGTGGGGATTTGAACCAAGGTTTGTCTCAGGATTCTAGACACTCAAGCCCCTGGCTTAGCACTGGACATACAGTAGGTGTTTGACTCATGCATGGTGCTGGCTGGTTGGATGCTAACCATCCTGGTCACACCCTCCATGTCCCTCAGATCCGGAAGGCTGCCCAACATGGAGTGTGCTCGGTCCTCAAGGGCAGTGAGTTCATGTTTGGTGAAAAGGCCCCTGCCCATCATCCTGCTGCTGCTTCTACTGCCAAGTTCTGCATCCAGGAGATTGAGAAGTCTGGAGGTGGGGCAGTCAGGCTTGGGAAGCGGGTATAGGAGGTGGGAGCTGTCCGGGGTGGGCTAGAGAAGCAACCTCCCCTCTGTGTGCCAGGCTCCAAGGAGGCCACCACCACGCTGCACATGCTGACGCTGTTGAAGGACCTGCTGGCCAGCTTCCCGGAAGTCCTGGTCAAGAGCTGTAGTGAGAGTCTCCTCAGGGTCATGACCTTGAGCCATGTGGTAAGCAATTCAGTTCCTCCTGGAGAACTCCAAGGCCAGGCAGAGCAGGGCCTGAGCTCACCCTGTCCTGCCCTACTTTGCTGCTCCATCTCTGAGCACTGTCTCATCCGAGGTGTTGGGCAGAGCGGGCCATCAGCAGGGTTCTGTGATAGTTGGAAACTGGCCTCAGACAGAGATCAGGTCAGAATAAGGAGAGAGGCTGTGGGGCCACAAAGCCTTTCACCACTCAACCCAACTAGAGTCAGACAGTTATTCCTGTTTGTGGTGGGGTTTTTTTTGCTTTGTTTTGTTTTTTCTCTCCTTATTTATTAACCAATCAGTAAATGCTTCAGAAACCCTATATACAGTCGCTATGAGTCAGAATTGACTCAGTGGCTTTATTTTTGGTTTGGATACATGCTTGGCTGCTAACCGGAAGGTTGGCAGTTCAAATCACACAGTATCCTCATGGGAGACTGACCTGGCAGTCTGTTTCCATAAAAGTTCACTTACCCACTGCTTGAGTCAGTTCCAACTCGTAGTGACCCTGTGGAGTGTGTCTTTTCAAGTCTGTAATCTACTGGAGCAGAAAGCCTTTTTTCTCACTCGAAGTGACTGGTGGTCTTGAACCTCCAATCTTGTGGTTAACAGTGCCAACCGGGGTCCTTCCATAAAGATTACAGCCTAGGAAATCTAATGGGGCCGTTCTCCTCTTGTTGCTCCTGTAAGTAGGAAATGACTCAGCGGCATCTAACAAGCACAGTTCTGTTCATCTTCATGTGTTGTCATTTTTATTCATGTGTATATTAAAAGTTTTTATTACATAAATTGTGTGATCATTATTTAGAAAGGAAAAAGACTATTTAGAAGTGCATTAAGTAAAAAAGCCAGCGTCTTTGTTTCCTCCCACTTTAATTTCCTCAGGTGAACAGTGTAAACCACTTGCCACATATCCTTGCAGACACTTCCTCTTGACTAGACAAACATCCATAAAGATACGTAAAGTTACAGCTCTGATTATAGACTGTTTCTGCAGCTCACTATCATGTTATAAGCATTCATGTTCTTCCCTTGTCTTGGTTAAAGCATTTAGAAAGTTCTCAGTTGCTTATCTTTCTGAGCATCCAGGTGTGTGAGCTTGATTGAGATTCGGGGAGCCATAAGCTCTGTGATCCCCCACTAAAGCCTGTGTCCTCTCCAGCTGGTGACAGCCTGTGCCATGCAGGCCTTTCATGGCCTCTTCCATGCCAAGCCTGGCCCGGGCACCCTGACGGCAGAGCTCAACGCCCAGATCATCACGGTGAGGCTCTATGGCGGGAATTAGGGGCTCTGATGTGCTGGTGGGGCCAGCCTGTTACTGTCTGGAAAATGAGGTGGAATTGGGCTGGCCAGGGCTGCCCCCTTACGGGATATCAGTAGACAGACAGACAGACAAGGAGGCCAACCACAGAAGTCACATCAATGTCTTCCCTGACTCTTGGGTGAGTGAGGGTGTCTTTCTTGACCTAGTAGTGGTGAACTTTATAATAAATGGTTTAAGCATGATCTCATAGTGTTAACAGATGCCTTAAGCCAGGGCCTCTTTACCTTAGGGATCCCTGGATGAACCTAGTAAAGGGCATAAACCCTCTCATTGTTCACAAACTGCATTTTTCTGGAAGTTCTGTGGTCTGTCAGATTCACACAGGGGTGTGGGCCACAGTGTACCCTCCACTGCTCCTGGAGGCTTTCTGCCCTAATGAAGGCAAAATGGGAGGGCTTCACAGAGGGCATGGCAGGAGCTGGCTGGTGGGTCCAGGTCACGGGCTGCTGTTCTAGGGGTGCGAAGGGGTCATTGTCACTGGGGCTGCTGCTCCTTAATCCCTGTTCCTCCCTCCAGGCCTTGTACGACTACGTTCCCAGTGAGAATGACTTACAGCCCCTGATGGCCTGGCTGAAGGTCATGGAGAAGGCCCACATCAACCTGGTCCGGTAGGAATCACTTCTGTGTAGTGGAGGTGGGGAAGATGTGAACTGAAAATTGGAAACGTCATTCAGCTTCCTGAGAACTGGCAGTGTTTCTGTGTCATGTGTGATGATGACCAGATCTTGTTTTTAAGTGTCTCGGGGTAGGACGGTTCCTCCCATATTATCCAGGTCTGATTGCTTTCCTAGCTGAACCTTTGACTAGAAGGAGCTCTGGTAGCGTAGTGGTTATGAATCAGGCTGCTAATCTCACAGTCAGCAGTTGGAAACTACCAGCTGTTCCATGGGAGAAGGATGAGGCTTTCTGCTGACATAAAGATTTACAGCCTCGAAAACCCTATGCAGGGTCGCTATGAGTCAGAACCGACTCCATGGCACACAACAACAACAGGGTCTCAAAGGCCCCTCAGCCTCCGCTAAGCTGTGATTCTGTTTTCCCCTCAGCTGAAGGTGATTTCAGAATCTTGGTGTGGTGCTGTAGGATAAGCACTAGACTACTTGCTAACCACAAGGTTGTCGGTTAAAACCCATGAGCTGCTCCTCAGAAACTCTATACAGGGTTGTTAGATGTTGGAACTGATTTGTTGTTGTTAAGTGCTGTCGAGTCAGTTCCAACCCATAGCAACTCTGTACAGGGTTTCCGAAGCTGTAAATCTTTACGGGAGCAGAACACCTCATCTTTCTCCTGCAGAGCAGCTGGTAGTTTCGAACTGCTGACCTTGAGGTTCACAGCCCGATTAGATGACCCTTAATAACAACAACAAAGGGGACTCATCAGCCTGCTCTGAACCCGGCACTGTTAGATACTTGACATCCGTTCAGTCTCGGGTCACAGCAACCCTATGAGCATGTTCGGTGCCATTGAGTTGATTTTGACTCAGAAAGACCCCATTTGACAGAATAGAACTGTTTGGGTTTTTTTTTTTTAATGTTTTATTGTGAATTATGTGATAGTTTACATGGGAGAACATTATATTTACATTCATCCTATCGTATATCGTTTCATTGCCATGATTATAATCCCTCCGTGTATCATCAGCCAACCACAAGGTATATCCTGCAAGCCTGTCCCCCGGTCGTCAGCACATAGCCCCTCTCCCTCTCTGGGTCTAGAGTCCCCAACTGCTCCCTCTCTCCACATCATCGTCTCTGCCTCCATCTCTGGCGTCACTGTTTTATAGGGTGTTCTTGGCTGTAATCTTTAGGGGGAGCAGATCACCACGTACTTCTCCGGATTTGCTGCTGGGTAGATTCTAACCACCAGTCCTTTGGTTAGCAGCATACCTGTTGTACCACCAGGGCTCCTATGGAAAGTCTTAGCTCATTTTGTGAACAAGAAGTCAGTTATTCAGTATTCCACACAGCCAGTCTCCAGCCCAGCCTTATGAGGCCCACATTTGTCTGCCTATCCCAAGCTACCTTCCACCTGGAAGTGTCAACAGTGGCAAGATGGCCCGTTCCTCCCCTTCCCAGAGTTCATCCTTCAGGTGCCCTCCCACATCGTCCACATCCCCTGCCGCAGGATGTTTGCTTCCGCACCATAGGTGATGGCAGGAAACATGAAATGATCTATGTGTACCCCCAGAGGGGACTGGTTAAGTAAAGTCAGGCCCTTCCAAACAATGACGTTCTCAATGTTTCCAAGACCTAACAGAAGCGAGGTGCAGAAGCATGGAGAGCATGATTGTTGGCTCTCGGTGGAGCCACACCGCCAGGGTGTGAAAGCTGACCCCACCACTCACTGCCTTCTCTGTGGGCCTGTTTCCTCCTCTACAAAGTGGGGGTGTCAGTAGGACTCACCCTGTGGGTTGTTGCAAGGTTCCAGTGTGTGAGGGTTGTATCAGTGCATAGCATGTGGTGTTATGTAAGTGTTAGTTATTGTTACTTTAGGTTTGTCTATGTGTAAAAACTTGTGAAATCGTGCTTGAATTTAACCGTGATTCCCTTGGGCAGTGGGTCTGAGGGTCAGTCTGGACAGGCATGCTGTTTATGCTCCAATGACCTGTTGTTTCTGGCACAGCGGTACTCTCTCTCTCTCTCATAATTGCCCACAAGCAGGGCCTGTAGAGCCCTGCAGACCAGTGATTACTGTCAGACCTGGACCTTTATCTTGACAGGTTGCAGCGGGACCTTGGACTGGGCCACCTCCCTCGCTTTTTTGGGACTGCGATGACCTGCCTCCTTTCCCCACACTCACAGGTGGTGGCCACGGCTACCCAGAGCCTAAAGGTACTGCTGTCTCCAGCTCTCCAGCCCTACCCTAGCTTGCTGCTGCCTTCCATCTCCAGAGCCAGGTCCTGGGAGGAGGCTCTGGAGTGGGGAATTGGGCTTCCTAGAAGCTTCAGGAAGTTGTCATTCAGGAGGAGTGAGTGGCACTGGGGGGCTGCTGGACCCAGCAGCCTGCGGCCTCTGTTTGCAGGAGATCCTGAAGGAATGCATTGCTCCCCACATGGCTGACATTGGCTCCGTGACCGCCTCGGCCCCAGGGCCTGCTCAGTATGTCTCCAAGATGTTCAGGTGAGAGCGTGGTGTTCCCAGTAGCAGGGTCTGAGGTGTGCTTGGTGGAAAGTCCATCACGTTGATAAATGGGCCACGTGTGAAGGGCCAGGCGCTTCTTGGGACCTCAGGTTGTTTGCTGAACTTCCACCAGAGCAGTCACCATGTCTTGAGCACCAGAAGGGAGTCCAGTCCAGGGAGTGGACAGTGTGGTACTTCAATGGTGGATGCTAGTGCAGGCTCTGTTGATGGCAGGCCCAGTCACTTGGGCAAATTCTGTCTCTGTTTACCTCATTGTCTTCCTCAATGGCTACCTTGTGAGGAGTAAATGAGATGACGTGTGGCATTCTCAGAACAGTATCTGGCATGTAGTAAAGTACTAAATAAATGTAAGCTGTTGTTACTACTACTGTGTCTAGAAGATCCTTATGGTTCTATGAGTTAGATGGTTCTTGCTGTGTACTATTACGTGGATTCAACTCATAGCAACCCTAGATGACAGATCAGAACTGCCCAGTAAATTCTCCTAGGCTATAATCCACAGACAAAATAAGGAAAGATGTTGTTAAGTGCCATCGAGTCAGTTCAGACCCATAGCAACCCTGTATAGGGTTTCTGAGGAGCTGTTGGTGAGCTTGAACCGCCAACCTTGCAGTTCAAATGGCTTTGCAGTCTGGCGCATTAAACCACAACACCACACCAGGACTCCAAGGAACGATGTCATCAAATGAAGATGGAAGGACTACAGAGTCACTGTACTGAAAATAATTTGTCAGTATTCAGTAATTTCAGAAGGTAGATATGATTAAGAACCAATAGTATTAAAGGAAGAGCCCACAGTGCACTGAGGGCATTAGTGAAACACAAGGACTCCAGAAACTGATGGAATACAAATTGAAATGTTTTGACAAATGGAGCAGGGCTGGAAGCACTCACTAGTTTATGCCAAGAAATTTGGAAAACAGTTACTTGGTCAACTGACTGGAACACACCAGTCAGTTTGTGTGCATTCCAAAGAATGGGTTGTGGAAATTATTGAACAATATCATTAATATCACACACAAGTAAAATTTTACTGAAGATAATTTAAAAATGGTTGAAGCAGCACATTTGACAGGGAGCTGTCAGAAATTCAAGGTACAAGAAGAGAACATGGAACAAGGGCTGTCAGTGTTGACATCAGATCTTGTCTGAAAGCAGAGAATACCTGAAAGATGTTTTTCTTGACTCCGCAAAGATGTTCAACTGTGTGGATCATAACAAACAGTGAATAACATTGTAAAGAACTGGAATTCCAAAACACTTAATTGTGCTTATGTGGAACTTGTACATAGACCAAGAGGCAGTTGAGGGGGGTCGGGGCTGCTGTCTGGTTTGAAATCAGGAAAGGTGTGTGTCAATAAAAGAGAACTTGAGGTACATGATGGTAAAAATTAAAAAATACAGCTTTCCAGTATGGATTGCAGTTCAGTGGAAAGAAAACATATTCTCACAACTGGGCCAATAGACAGCATCACGAAAAACTGAGAAAAGATAGCATTGTCAAGGATTTCATTTCACTTGGATCCACAATCAATACTCACAGAAGCAGCAGTCAGAAAATCTAAGGACATAATGCATTAGGCAAACCTGCCGCACAAGACCTCTTTGAAGTGTTAAAGAGCAGAGGGCTCAGTTTGAGGGTTAAAGTGCACCTGACCCAAACTGTGGTATTTTCCATTGTCACTTATACTTGTGAAAGTTGCACAGTGAATAAGGAAGACCGGAGAAGAATTGGTGTGTTAGAATTAGGATGCTGGAGAATATTATTGAAAGTCCCGTGGACTTCCAGAAGAACAAGCAGAAGTATAGCCAGAATGTTCCTTGGAAGCGAGGATGGTGAGGCTTTGTCTTATGTACTTTGGAAATACTATCAGAAGGGACTGGTCCCTGGGAAAGGTCAGTGTGCTTGGGGAAGTAGAGGGTCAGCGGAAAGGAGGAAACGACAGTGGCTGCAGCTATGGCTCAGACATAACAACTGTGCGGGCTGTGCAGGCCCAGGTCCTGTTGCATCCTGTTGGACCTGGGTGCTCAGAGCCAACTCAGTGCAAACAGTAATCTTTGATAGGAGCAGATTGCTGAGCCTTTCCTCTTTTTTACTGTTAACTGGTTTTTCAGAATGCATTGTATTATTCCAATTATGTTAAGTCTTAATTGTGAATTGGGTAAAAATTTATAGAGCGGATCAGCTTCCCAAGTGTTTTCTCATGCAGAGCCACTGGTGGGTACCCTCCAGTGATCTTTCTGCTGATAGCTGAGAGCTTAAGCATTGCGCCACCAGGGCTCCGTAGGAGTTAGCTACTAACCCCATTTTACAGCTGGGGAAGCAGAGGCTCACCCTGTGACCAAGAGTTCCATCTTCCTCATGGTGTTGCACTGCCCTCCACTCGCACCAGGGGGCTCATCACTGGCCACCTTCGTGTTTCCTGGAAAGACCTGACTCCTCAGTGTCTGTGCTTGGCTTCAAGATAAGGGCTTGTCTCTTACGAGGAAATCCCAGGGATCTATCTGGGAAGAAGTTTTAGGAAAATTCAAGGAATAGAGTTACCCCTTCTCACAGCCCCCCCCCCCCCATCTTTCCCCAGCGTAAGTAAATCCAAGGCCTGGAGGGGGCTGACTTCTTTGAGGGCTGCACAGGCTGGAAGGGGCTGGATGCTGAGGGGCTCTCCTCCCTGAAGCAACTTTACCTTCCACCCAGACCTCTGCATCTACCTGCCCTCCCTCTTTGGTCAGACTGAGAGAACAGGCCACAATGGACAAAACACATGCTCTGGAGTCCTAGTTTGGCAGGTTACTCCTGACCTCAGTTTCCCCTTTGGAAGAGGAAACAAGTAATCTACCTCACAGGTTTAATTAGACAAAATGCATAAATGCAACTCTTAGCACAGTGCTTGGAGGACAGTGGGTGTCGGTTGTTCTCTGTGCCTTTCCTGCAGCCCCCCAGCCTTAGAGCCATCTGGTGTCTAGATCTCCTGGTGCCAGCCACCAGCTTTTCCTGGTTGGAGCCCAGAGTGGGCTTCAGTGTGGTCCTGACTGTGGCCTTTCCTTTGGCAGGACAGTGGAAGAAGGCCTGACATACAAGTTCCATGCCGCATGGAGCTCCGTGTTGCAGCTGCTGTGTGTGTTCTTCGAGGCCTGTGGACGGCAGGCCCATCCTGTGATGAAGAAGGTGAAGTAGAAGATGTGGGGACAGCACCCCAGGTGGCGCTTGGGTTGTGCACAGGGTTCTGGGCCCCCTAGATATTGGGATGTGGGTGCTGAGAGGATGGGGATGTGTATCTTGTTATAGCTACTCGCACCCTGCCCCCTCTCCTCCCAAACACACACACAGAGCATAGATCACCCAGGAAAGTGGATTAAGGGACTGACGTGGAAGGAAAAGGCAGCACGGGCAGGAGCCTCCCTCCCCCACCCCCACCTGCCGGCTTTGGCTGGGGTTAATGAAACTCCCTGGGAGCCAGTGTGTTTCTCCCCACTCCCATTCTGCTGTCTTTTCATTTTTAATTGTCTCAATGCCCTGTGATGTTCTTAGTACTGTTGTTGATTTTTAAGCAGCCACAGGTCCCAGCCTAAGGAGACTTGGTGACACATGGTGAAGAATTGGCTGTTAACTAAAAGTTCGAACCCACCCAGTGGTTCTGCTGAAGCAAGGCCTGGTGATTTGCTCCTGTAAAGATTAACCCACTGCCAATGAATTGATTCCAACTCATAGTGACCCTTTCTAGAGTTTACAAGGCTGTAAATCTTTATAGAAGCAGATAGTCTCATCTTTCTCCCTCCAAGTGCTGGTGGGTTTGAACTGCTGACTTTGTGGCTAGCGCCCCAACACCCAACCCACTGCACCTTCAGGGCTCCTTCCCATAAAGATTGCAGCCGAGAAAACCCATTGGGGCAATTCTCCTGTCACATGGGATCACTACAAGCTGAAATCGGCTCAGCATCCCCTAGCAGTAGTGACAGGTCCCAGGGAGACTGCACTGCAGTGCAGAGATCCTGAGCCCACCCCAAACCAGATGACAGATCACAGACCCTTCCTCCCCGAGTGGAACACATGGCCTCATGGGCCTTCCGCACTGATGCCCACTGCTGCTTGGGAGAAAGGGACAACCCTGAGAGCTTGGCTTCTTGCAAGAGGTCAGGCTGGTGAAGGCTGCTGGGAATCACCTGGCACAGCTCTGTCATTTCTGAGGCCAGCTTCTCAGTGCTTGCTGGTTTGCCAGTTGTCACCATGCCAGCAATATGGGCCATCCTTGCCTTTGCAGAGTCCCTAATGAATACTAGAGGTTTTTTTCAAACCTTGGGTGTGGAGGATCAAACATTTGGCTGTCAGTTTGTTACTTTGGCCCATACCTCTTTCTTCTGGAGACTTGGTCCAGACACCAGCCCTGATACACCATCTTCCTCTGCTCCAGTGTCTCCAGTCCCTGTGTGACCTGCGCCTGTCCCCTCACTTCCCCCACACGGCTGCGCTGGACCAGGCTGTGGGGGCTGCCGTGGCCAGCATGGGGCCTGAGGTGGTGCTGCAGGCTGTGCCTTTAGAAATCGATGGCTCTGAGTAAGCTTGGCCCTGGGCGGTTCCCTGGGGGCCCCTGGAGAGTCTGGCTGCTTGTTTGCTGGAGTGGGTGGGGATGTTCACTCTTAGGCTGAGTCTGGGTGCTGGCCACTGGGAGCGGCTGCTCCTGGACTGTCACCTCAGCCTCACAGGTCCCCTCTGTCCTCCTCCCAGAGAGACTCTGGATTTCCCACGGAGCTGGTTGCTACCTGTCATCCGGGATCACGCACAGGAAACTCGCCTTGGTTTCTTCACCACCTATTTCTTGCCGCTGGCTAACACCCTGAAGAGTAAAGGTAAGGGGGCCTCACTTGTGTGCTGCCCAGGGCTCATTGCCTGCTTTGGGGCTTCCTCCTCCAGTCCTTGAATCTGATATAGCCCCTTCCCTCCTACAAGGAGCCTCCACCCTGGGGCTTTGTTAGTCTTTCTTGGATTATAAGTTAAATCACAAAGAACAGGTCTGCACCTTTTAGGAGAGCTCTTGGGATAGATATTTTTAAATTTTTGTAAATATATTTGTTTACCTACATTTGTAGACCTATATAGTTGTTAAGTGCCATTGAATCAGTTCCGACTCAAGCGACCCTGTATATGGTTTCCAAGGAACGGCTGGTGGGTTTGAATTGTCTAGCAGCTGACAAAAGTGTCACACCAGCAGTGTATGTTCTCTGATACATAGACATGTGTGTGTCTATATTTAAAAGAATAACAATGAGGATACTTAAATTTTAGAAGATGTTTCTTTCCCCCTCTTGAAATGTTCCTTCTTCATGCAAATTGTCATTGATTTTGTCTCCTCTGGAGGCAGAGATTCTGGTACCCTCTCTGTGCACCTCTAGTTGATTTGAGTCCTGGACTCAGACCTATAGGCTGGAAAGTGGAGGAGCTGGGTGTGTTTTGCAGCCAACCGGTGGCTCCAGGAGCTCTGGTTCATTTGACGGTGAGGGTTTAGCGCAGAAGCGGGTAATTGCTCCCTATCCTGTCTGCTGTCTGTTCGTGTCAATAAAGGTTTACTGCAACACAGCCGCACTTGTTTTACACACAGTCTGTGACTTTCCCCCTCCCCTGGCACGTGTGAGTAGTTGTAGCAGAAACCATAGAGCTTGCCAAGATTCAAATACACATCCCTCGGCAGGAAGTGTGCCAACCCTGGTCTAGGGCAGTTCTTCTTGACAGGGTGATTTTACTCCCTAGGGGACACTTGGCATCATCTGCAGATACTTTTGGTGGTCACAGTTTCAGAGGGGTGCTATTGGCTTCTAGTGGGTGGTGGTCAAGGATGCTGCTAAACTGCCTACCATGCACAGGGCAGCCCCCTTCAGTCTTCCGACTCAGAACGGCACTGGTGCTGATCTTATTTCAAATGTGATTTTGCAGAATATGTTTGTAGAATGTACAGGAAAATTTTAACATAATTACCACTAGAATTGTTAATGCATCCGAAGAGACAGTGGCTCTGTCTGGGAGCGTGAGATTTGAATTTGACACAGGTCCTGTTTATAATGGGCAAGTATTAGGTTTTAATCTACAGAAGGAAATCATATAATCCTGCCCTCATCGCCAGGCTTTAGGTTGTGGTAAAAATGATGCCATTGGTGCTCTGGGTCACGCCATGTCCTTGTCTCACTCTCCAGCCATGGAGCTGGCTCAGGCGGGCAGCACTGTGGAGTCCAAGATCTACGACACGCTCCAGTGGCAGGTACGGGCCAGGGAGCGGGAGCAGAAAGCACAGCGCTGGGTGTCGCTCTCTTCCTTGACCATCACTTTCCTCCCCAGATCTGGACCCTCCTGCCTGGATTCTGCACAAGGCCCACGGATGTGGCCATCTCCTTCAAAGGGCTGGCGCGGACGCTGGGCACAGCCATCAGTGAGCGCCCAGACCTGAGGGTCACGGTGTGCCAGGCTCTGCGCACCCTCATCACCAAGGGCTGTGAAACAGGTACATGTGGGTTCAGGGAAACTCGGATGACAGGTACCCCTGCCCCCACTGCTATGCGGAGCCTAAGACAGTAGCCCCTCTAGCTCATCCTTTGCCAGGACCTGAAGAGTTCGTCGGGGGCTGAAAACTGTCCCAGCTCATGTCTTTACTCCTAGTGTGTTGACAGTTGCTGTGGGCGTACTCAGTTATGTTGGCAGCTTGTGTGGCTGGCACGCTGCTGGTCCTGGCACAGGAGTCATGGAGGAGCATAGATCATTGTGGCACCTCGTTCTCTGTGCCCTGGTCTCAGCCTTTCTGCTCACTGGGAACCTAACCCAGGGCTTCCAGGACCTGCCACAGGGTACCCTAAAGGATTCCTGCAGGCTACAGCCCAGTGGCCTTTAGAGGGGGACAATACCTGCTCCCTTCATGCAAACTTTGGTCCTCCTGCCAGAGGCCGACCGTGCAGAAGTGAGCCGCTTTGCCAAGAACTTCCTGCCAATCCTCTTCAACCTGTATGGACAGCCTGTTGCCACTGGGGACACCCCAGCCCCTCGCCGGGCTGTGCTGGAAACCATCAAAACATACCTTACCATAACCGAGCCTCAGGTGAGCTGGTAGAGGGGCGGAGGGATGCTCTTAGTTTGGTGTGTTGGGTTCCTGCCACGTGGAGAACAGGACCGTGGGTACCAGTGGTTGTGGCTGGACTGGAGGCTTCTGAATGTCAGTGGTGGGGAAGGGAGTTCTGTGACCTGCTGCTCTGTGTATCTTCCCCAACAACCTCCTCCTTCCTGTCCCCATGGGGCTGCCAGCTGGTGAATGGTTTCATGGAGAAAGCCAGTGAGAAGGTGCTTGACCCAGCCAGCTCGGAATTCACCAGGTAACGTGCTCAGGGCTTCCCCACTTGAACTGGGGCAGCCTAAGAGGCTGGGGCTCTGCCTGCTGGAAGCCCTGTGGCTTTTTTCTGGCATGACTTGGCAGTCTTGCGATATTAAATGTCCCAGCTCTACCATGAGGCCTGTATGATCCCTTTATCTTGGGGAGGTTTCTAATCTCCTGGACCCTAGGGACATGCCAGGTGCAAATCGCAGCTTCAGCTACAGGCAGTGTGATCTTGGACTAGTTGCTTCCTTGCTCTACCATGTCTGCACCTGTGAAGTGGGCAGAGTACAGTGCCTGGTTCATTGAGCTGCTGAATTGGAGGAATTAGCACGTGGAAAGCACCATGTTTGGTACATTGTGAGCATTGGCTTCGGGTGCTGGGTTGGGATTATTGCTCATGGGCTCCTTAGGGACCTCCAGTTCTAACCCTGACTTTCACCACCCCTGTGCCCTGAGAGCACCGAGAGCCTGTGCCCTTCTCCAGTGCCCTCCTTGTCTCCTGCCCTGAGCAGATTGTCTGTCCTGGATCTAGTTGTGGCCTTGGCTCCTCACGCTGATGAAGCTGCCATCAGCAAGCTCTACTCCACCATCCGGCCCTACCTGGAGGTGAGCTGGGAGGCCCAGGGTCGCCACCACCATCCCTGGAGAGAGAGGGGATCCCTGGGAAGGTAGAGACTCTTCTGCTGCCCAGACCAAGCCTGGAGTGGCTTCCCCTGAACCCATTGGGCCCATCCGTCACGTAGATGCCAGAGTGACACTCTGTGCACCTGAGCTCAGGCCTCACCTTCTAAGGCTTCCCTAGTGAAACTGTCCCAGCCTGGCCTCATCTGTATCCTGTGAAGAGTCCCAGATATAATGTGTGAGGGCCTCCTCAGACCCTCACCCCCGAGGCTGGTAACTGAGATGTGCCCTGCGGAGGGCATACAGGTGGCCCCAGAAGTCTAGGGCAGGGGCCAGCCTACCAGAAGTGCCTGGAGTCTAACAGCTATGTAGGAACAGGAAAACATTAGGCAGTGAGAAGAGTGCTCTGGCTATGAGCAGGTGCCAAGGCCGTGTGTGTCCCAGGCCTGGAGCTATCGCGCTATGTGGAGGTGGTGAGCTCATGATCGGGGCAGCCATGGGCTCATCTACTGTAGTACCCCCTTGTGTCTGGCACAGGGGATGGTCTCTGCATGTGTTCTGTTGGCTCTGGAATGACGGGGGGCTAGCTGCAATGGATGCTATGTAAATGCTACTAAGCAGGGTAAGGGTGGGTAGGGCAGCCCCTGCCCCTGCCCCCGCCCCCTCCTCGCCCATCCCTGACTGCCATGCTCCTTTTCAGAGCAAGGCGCACGGGGTGCAGAAGAAGGCGTACCGTGTGCTAGAGGAGGTGTGTGCCAGCCCCCAGGGCCCAGGGGCCCGCTTTCTGCAGAACCACCTGGACGACCTGAAGAAGACACTGCTGGACTCTCTGCGGAGCACCTCCTCGCCAGCCAAGAGGGTGGGGCTCCGGGCAGCCTGCTCCCTGGGAGGAGCAGTCACGGGGGGGCGGGGGGCATGGAGGGGTCCTGAGTGTTGTCCCCCTCTGCACTGCAGCCCCGATTGAAGTGCCTCATACACATTGTGAAAAAACTCTCAGCAGAGCACGAGGAGTTCATTGCCGCCCTTGTCCCAGAGGTGAGGGGTGCAGGAGGGGGTGAGGGGCGAGGGAGGGTGTGTGGGTGTGGAGAGAGTTTCCCTGGAGTGATTCTTTAGGGTCACGAGGGCAGGACTCGGGGGAGAAGGGGGAGTGGCTCAATTCTCTGCCCTGGATCATGGGTACCCTTACCTGGTCCCCACCCATGGCTGGTGGGTTCTGGGAAAGTATGGTCATAGGGCTGTCTGGGTCAGGTGATCCTGTGCACCAAGGAAGTGTCGGTGGGAGCTCGGAAGAATGCCTTTGCCCTGCTTGTGGAGATGGGCCACGCATTCCTTCGTTTTGGCTCAAATCAGGAAGGTGAGGCCCAGGTGACACGGGGCTGGGGGTGGACCCTCTGTTCACGGTCTAGCGGGCAGGTACCTTCTAAGCCACTGGTCAGCTGGAAATGTGGGGTGAGCTCCCTCGTTCTGTAGGGTCTGCAGAGAGTATGACGAACCCGTCCTGGTCTCTGTCCCCAGAGGCCCTACAGCGCTACCTTGTCTTGATCTACCCCGGCCTCGTGGGTCCAGTGACCATGGTCAGCTGCAGCATCCTGGCCCTGACCCACCTGCTTTTTGAGTTTAAAGGTAAATATTTCCTGGGAAACTGTCTGGGTAAGAAACTGCCCAAATGGCCAGTACAGAATAGCCTTCAGATGAGGGGAAAGGCCACAGGAGGGAGAAAGGAGGGCCGGACCCAAGATCCCTGGTTCCCATAGTCCCTGTCTTCTTATCCTTTCTGACCGACTGAGGCCTCCCACAGTCCTGCTCTACAAAGCATCCATGCAGGTTAGCTGCCCTGCAGCCTGCATTGTCTCTTACCAACCATACAAGACATTGAGCAAATTTTTTTTTCTAACTGTGAAATTTGTAGGTTGTTGTTGTTAAGTTCCGTCAAGTCAGTTCTCATAGCAACCCTGTGTAGAGTTTCCCAGGTTTTTAGATGTCTGCAGGAACAGAAAGCCTCATCTGTTTACCACCGAGAGGCTGGTGGGTTCAACCTATGGACCTTGTGGTTTGTAGTCAAGTGCATACCCTATAGAGTCATCATGCTCCTGAAAACTCATAGGTATTTATGTGTGTGTGTGTGTGTGTGTGTGTGTGTATATATAGAGATATATACACACACACACACATAATGCATTATTATTTTAATCTTTTGGAACATCAGTTTGTTATCTAAAGGGGGTCAAGGAACAGTGCCTACCTCTGAATACCTGCCCTGCCGGGCCAGATAGAAGAAGCATATATTCTGAGGTCCCCCAACTCTCAAGGGCTCCTGCTGCATCCCCAAGACAGGCTCTGGGTCTTGGTGGCGGCTCTGAGAAGGGCCCCTCCTCTCTGCAGGCCTGATGGGGACCAGCATGGTGGAGCAGTTGTTGGAGAACATATGCTTGCTCCTGGCTTCCCGCACTCGAGACGTCGTCAAATCTGTACTGGGCTTCATCAAGGTGGCAGTGGTGGTCATGGATGTGACCCACCTGGCCAAGCATGTACAACTGGTGGTGAGTGCCCCTCCCTCCGGGGCTCCTGGTGGCCGGCCCATAAACCATTCCGTGCAGCAGAAGTCATTGTAGGAGCCCTGGAAGGGACGAGCCCTGAAAGCAGTGCTCATCCCACACAGGCCCCACCAGGGAACCAAAGACCCGTGAGCACAGAGGCCCGTAGAGCAGGGGCTCCCTGAGATTACTGCAGGTCAGCAGCAGTGCCAGGACTAGAAGAACCCAAGACTCTGGGCTGTCCCTCTGCAGGGCCCCCCATGTTGCCTTTTTGTTTTCCATCTTGCCTTTTGACCTTCCTGCCACCTCCTGCTAACCCAGGGGGACATCTGACTTGTGGCAAGTTGGGACTGCCCTCCAAACCCTCAGTGCCCCATTTCAAGCTGGGTTGAGGGATATCAGACCTCCAGGTCCTTCTGGCTGCCTTCTTTGAGCCTGGCCTTGGTAGACAGCAGGAAATAGCAGGTGAGCGGCAGAATATCTGCCCCCTGCCCTCCAGAGCCTTCAGTCTAACTGGAGACTGAAGGTGGGGAGGATGGCCAGAGCCTTATCTTCAATGGGTGGAGAGGGCGAGGATTTGTAATAAGTCCTGCAGGGGATCTGATCCCATAGGACAGAATGACCCTGTTCCCAGCCCCACTGAGCAATACTTAGACAACAAGGTGCGCTGTTGCCCATGTGACCCAAGCCAGGCAGGATGAAGACTAGAGAGCAGCCAAGCCAGGGAATACGGCAGCAGAGTAGGAGGGGAGCCTGACACCCAGGAAGGAACTTACCCCTCTGTGCCTCCGTGTCATCCTCTTTCATTTGGGATGAGAATAGCATCAGCCTCGTCAGGTTCTAAGGATCCGATGAGATCATGCTTTCTTAAGCGATTCAGAAGCTGAGATCTCGGTGGAGTGGTCAGGGGCTGTCGTGAAGGAGAAGGGGTGTGGTCCAGATGATGGACATGTGACTGCCCTCTCAGCTGATCAGGACAGCACTGAGAGGGCTGGAGAGGGAAGTGCCCCTGAGTCCTGTGCTCTGTCGGCAGATGGACGCCATTGGGAAGTTGTCAGACGACATGCGGCGACACTTCCGCATGAAGCTCCGGAACCTGTTCACCAAGTTCATCCGGAAGTTCGGGTCAGTGTGCCGATTAAGGGTGAGGGCTGGAAGGGCATTCCTGGAGAGAAGGGGCGAGGCAGGGTTACAAGGTCCCTGGTAATCGCTTGCCAGTGCTCCTTACCACCCTTTGCCACCCTCAGGTTTGAATTAGTGAAGGGGCTGTTGCCTGCAGAGTACCACAAAGTCCTTCTAAACATCCGAAAAGCTGAGGCCCGGGCCAAGAGGCAGCGTACCTTGAACCAGGCTGCCTTGGAAGAGGAGGAGGAGAAGGATGAAGAAGAGGAGCCTGCTCAGGGCAAAGGTGACAGGTGAGACCCCGACAGCAGGACTCGTGAAGACCTAGAGCCTGCTCAGGTCATGCCCAGCTGCCCCTGCCCATCCTGGGAGCACTCTGACTTGGGGGCATCTCTGTCCTCAGCATCGAGGAGATTCTGGCTGACTCAGAGGATGAGGAGGAAGATGAGAAGCAGGAAAGGAGCCGGGGCAAGGAGCAGCGGAAACTGGCCCGGCAGAGGAGCAGGGCGTGGCTAAAGGAGGGTGGTGGGGATGAGCCCCTCAACTTCCTGGACCCCAAAGTAGCCCAGCGCGTTCTAGGTAAGCCGATGTGTGCGAGTTCTTGAGGGAAGCAGATGAGGGGTGTCTGTGGTAGGCCTGTGGACCCCTCACACCTCTTGCTGCACACTGTTTGGGGACACAGACCTGGGCTTGTGGGGCAGGATGGGGCTGTGAGTGGGCGGATTGGTCTCTCCACTTCCTCACCCACACACTGCCGCATCAGCCACACAGCCTGGACCTAGCCGGGGCAAGAGGAAAGACCATGGCTTCAAGGTCAGCGCCGACGGCCGGTTGATCATTCGAGAAGGAGATGAGGGAGACCAGATAGAGGAAGAGGAAGGTGCTAAAGGTAAGGCTGCCTGTCTGTCCCGAACTGCTGTGTGCATTCATTGGTTTGCTCATTGATTTCTATACTCTGCGACCACTCATTAGGAAAACAAAGTGTAAAACAGATACATTCTAAAGCAATTTTCTCAAATTTTTTGTTTCTCACACACTAAGAGATCTTTTATGTTGCAACCCAGACATTTACACAGTACATAACATTATTCAAACAAAAGTTCATGTAACATTACTTTATCTTCTTTTCTTTCTTTCCTTCCTTTTTTTGAACATTTACTGTGGTTTGAGTGAAAGTTTACAGAGCAAGTTTAATTTCCCATTCATCGGTTTACACACACGTTGTCTCAGGACGGTAGTGTGTAGCAGTGCTCTTCCCACGTTCTCCCTGGATTCCCTGTTTCCCTTCTTCCCTTTTTCCTATCCCTGAATTTTGCTTTTGGACAAATGTTGCCCTTTTGATTGTTCAGAGGAGCACATTCCTCATAGATGTCATGGTTCACTTTAGAGGACTGGGAGTTGGTTCACTTCCAATTTGAGGGTATCTCTGGGTGTCTTGGGTTCTCCCACCAGTTCCTGTCTGACCAGTATGTGTGGTGTCTTTTATGATTTTGAGTTTTGTTCCACAGTTTTCTCCCACTCTGTCCAGGACTTCCTATTATAGTCCCAATCAGAGTGGTTAGTAGTACTGGCTAGGCTCCAGCTGTTACTTAGTTCATTACCTGAGTCATGGATTTTTCTTTACTTTTCTTTGCTCTGGACAGGAAGAGACCAATAGTTGGATCTTGGATGACTGCTTGTAAACTTTTAAAACGCCAGTCACTGCCCATCAAAATGGGATGTAGAACATTGTTTTATGGATTGTACGATGTCAGCTGACTTCGATGATCCCTGAAACTATGGTTCTAAGCCTTTGAGCCCAGTGACTCAGGGTGTTTGATTATGGCGAACAAGCTTATAAACTGATAAAGTTCCTCCTGTGTGCTCTGCTGTATACCTGGACATATTTGCAGCACATACATAGGGAGTCCTAGTACAAGGTTGGGGGTAATCACTCGACCATAAGGTCAATTTGAATTGGAAGGTCAACTGTTGAAATTTACCAGCCGCTCCTTGGAAACCCTGTACAGAGTTGCTATGAATCAGAACCAGTTCAATAGCACTTAACAACAACAGCGACATATATGCTCGTGGGTGTTTCTCATGTGCCACCATGCCTGTTGAACGTATACGTCTATGTAGGTATTGTAATGACACTTTATTACTGCTGTTTCAAGAGTATGTATGTGAATGTTCGCATTGTTGTCTTTTACTCTTGAGTACCTCCTTGTGTCTTTTGTGTTAGTTATGTTGTGCTGATCTCCCACTTTGTATTGCCTTCCCCTTCATGCAGGTTAGTGTATGTTTACTGTTCAGTTAGTGATTCTCTCCCTCTCCCACTCCCATCCCTGGCAACCATCAAAGAATGTTCCTTTCTGCGTATAAACCTTTTCTTGACTTTTTTATAATGGTGACCACTACAGTATTTGGGAGCCTAGCTAGCCCTTGGCATTCATCCATGTTGTGAGATGCTTTGCTAATTCATTGTTATTCTTTCATGTTGCCTAGTATTCTGTTGTGTATGCATTCACCCATTGATGGGCACTTTGACAGTTTCCACCTTTATAATATTGTGAATAGTGCTGTGATGGATCTATTTGTGTCATGGCTCTTAGTTCTCAGGATACATATCTAGTTGTGGGATGACTGGATTATATGGTAGCTCCATTTCTATGATTTTAAGGACGCGCCATACCATTTGCCATAGTGGTTGTATCATCTTACGACAATCCCTCCAGTAGTGATTGAGAGTTGTAGTCTCCCCATACCCTTGCAGCATTTCTTGTTTTCTGGCTTTTGGATCATGTTATTATTGCTTGGGTAAGGTGACATCTCATTGTTGTTTGGATTTTCATTGTATGGCTAATGATCGGAAACATCTCTTCATGTATTTGTTGGCTGCCTGAATGTGTTCTCTGGTGACATGTCTGGTTCATATCAGCTGACCATTTCTTCATTGGATTGTCTTTTTGTTGTTGAGGTGTTGACTTTTTCTATACATTTTAGAGATTAGTCCTTCATTTTTTTTTTTGTTTTTTTTCTTTTTCTAATGCAAACTCTCCTGAGACCCTGAAGATCGTGTAGAGGTAGAAAGAACCAGGCTCTGACACCATCCCAACCTCCTGATTCGTTGCCTTGTGTTGCCCAGCAGTCAGCGTGCATGCTTGTGTACTTCTCTTGCCCCCTCTCTCCACACATCCATCTATTAAATCTCAACGCCTAGACCTTCTAGAAAGCACTCACCTTCCCTTTCTCTTGGGTTCCCCCTGCACACTTCCCTGGCCCTGATCTCACAGTGCCATCTCACAGACTCTCACTGTTCCAGTGCGCCCAGGCTGCCCACCCCACATGCCAGCCACTTGAGTCTACAGACATAGCTAGGGGATTACTGGAACTTTGGAGTCAGACTGCCTGTGTGTTGTTCGTGGCCCTCTATCTAAGTCACCAGACTGTGGCTTTGGACAATAAGTTTGCCTCTGTGCCTTGGCTTCCGCATCTTCCACAAGGGCATAGTACCACTCCCCACTTGGTGCTGAAGAAATAGGGTCACGCTTGTCCACCGGCAGGTGTAGGTGTGACTGGTGCTGTTTCCTCCGCTGGTCTCTTCATTGCTCTGTTCTCATCCCTTCTTTGCAAGTGCTTTGCTCCCTTTGGCCCAGGTATTCCTGCTGCTGAGAACACCCCACCCTCTCTTTTTGTTCAAACACTGTTACCTTTCAGCCACTCCTCAGCCTTCAGGAACACTGCCCTGTCCCTGACTTTTAGTCACATGCTGTTTTCTGACAGTTTGATTTGAGTTTATCTTCCTTCTGACTGCTGAGCCCCATACTTCTTTCTGTCCCCACACAATGTCTAGCTCACATCTGTGGGGGTAGGTGTGCAAGTAAGGCGGTGAAACCTTCCTCCTGACCAGATTGGTGGGAGCGGGGAGTCAGAAAAGCAGGCTCCCTGTGTGCTCACAGGTCTCTCTCTTCTGGCCCCACCAACCAGGTGAGGATGAGGAGGCAGCTGACGTGATGGAAGATGTGGGCTTCCGGAGTGTGAGTAATTCCTACTGCGTGGAGGGTGGGGAGCCTCAGTTTGGTGCCCACTTACCCCACTTCCAGTCCACCTGCCCAGCTTTCTGAGTGCCCATGAGTCCTCAGGGACGTGCATGGTGGGCAGTCCTGGGGTTGTAGATGCACGTCCAGAGGAGGGTCTGGAATGCTGGAGAGGGCAGGGTTGGGTCACTGGAGCACCTAGTGGTTGTTCAGTTGAAGGAAGGATGAGGCAAAGCACCACATCTGTCTGCCACATCTGTCTCTGTGCAGCCTGGAAGGGCCCCAGCTGGCTCAGTGCCCCAGCTCCTGTGTAGGGTGGGTGCCAGACACAGTGCTAAAGGCCCCCTCCCTACCCCACTTAATCTGCACAGAAGACTCCTTGAGCCACATTTGAAGATTAGGCTTCAGAAATGACCTGTCCAAGGTCCCAGGGCTTGTTAGTTGCACAGGTTCTCATTGGAGATCTTCAATCTCCAGAGCCCTTGCCACTGTTACCCGTCTTAACCCATTAGTTACTGCCTTCAGGATGGAACACTCTCAGCCCACCAATGGAGATCCATCGTTCACAAGCTCTGGGACACCTTGAACAGTGTCTTCCCTTCCTGTCATCGAGGACTGCACCTAGCTCATACAGCCTCCTGGGACTCACTTGCAGGGGAGGGTAGCTGCCTAGGAAGGGGGTACAATAGTATTCGTGGCAAAGGTCCCACTTATCTTTAACCTAAGCTTTCAAAACTTCAATTCCTCATCTGTGAGATGGGGCTATATGTAGACCGTCTTGAAGAATTACTGGGACAGTTGGATAGGCTAAGTAAAGTGTCTGAGCACAGTGCCTGAGGTACTTAACTTCTCCCCAAATTACTAGATCCTTTAATAGCGTGCTCACGAAGGTCTGCTCCTTACCAAATGTCCACCCACCCACCGACTCTCGGAGTTCCTTTTTATTAGTGTGTTAAAGGCTTGCAGAACTCTGGTTAGAGGATTCATCCTGTAGACTCAGAGAAGCTCGGGGCCAAGGGCGTCTGAGGAATGCCCTTGAGAGGTGCCTCATGTCCCTGGCTGCCCCTTTACGCAGCCTGTTTTCCTGGAGGATGTGGCTCTTATTGGGAGCTGTTGCTTTCTTTGCCCAGCCTTCAGCCAGTGAGTCTGCTTCCGTCCCAGGTGATACTGGGACATGTACGTCTCTGGGCTCCTCTCCCAGTATGTCCTGCTCAGCATTTATTTTCATCGTTGCCTTTGTCCTGAAATCCTTTTAGGCAAAGCTTCCCTGGTTCGTTTGCATCTTCTCACCTGACTTTGCAGTCTCTGAGCCACTGACCACCCCCTCAAGGCCAGCCCACAGCGCAGGGCAGCAGAGCAGACGGTGGGGCCTTGTCTTTGACACTGAGAGGCTCCAGGGTAGCCACACTCCGCCGTGGGCTTGTGGCAAGTCAGCACCTGCTACCGAGCTCTCCCAGGGACTCCTTTACGTGACAGCTGTGAAGTCCCACTCCTCCGTCCACACCTGGGGAAGCCTCGGGTGTGGGTGGCAGCCACAGGTGAAGGCCAGTGGGCTGGGCCATGGCCCTCTACAATGCATCCAGAGCCCCGTTCCCAGCCCCTGTCTATGTCTCTCCAAGGAGATCCATTCTGCTGGCTGCCTGCCCACGGTGCTAGGTGGCCTCTGTTCCTTGGCACCTTTTCATCCCAGTCTAGACCATGCTTCTTAGAGTCTGGCCTGAAGCCCACCAGCCCTAGGATTTGTGATGTTACCAGACTTCCAGGGCACTTTTGCTGTCAGTGGGTTCTCTCCTTGCGCAGTGACTCTCGGACACCAGCCCTCTGCCCTGCCTGCTTGTTAGGTCTAGACTGAAGTTTCCTGGGGGACTGGGTGCACCTGGCACAGTGTCTGGCACATTGTTGGTGCTCAGCTTCTTGTTGGATAAAATTGAACAAGTTAACGGTCCCATTGCTGCCTGTGCTGTGTCTGCTGAAATGGCAATATGAATGAGGTCCTGCAGTGCCTGGCCTGTGCCGAGCACCAGGGGAGATCAACAGTGATGACTAATGGGGACACTGGGTGAGTGGAAGACCTGAGGGAAGCTGGTCTCTCAGAGTCCAGAAACCTCATTTCCATACAGGGACTAAGCTGGGGGTTCAGGTGCCCAGGCAAGGCAAGGGGTGGGTCCCGTGCAGAGAGCCAAGCTATGGAGACCTGGTAGAGCTTTCCCTCTGCACTTCCTAGCTGTGTGGTCTAGGACCGTTGCTTGCCCTCTCTGAGCCTTCATTTCCTCAACTGCAAGTGGGCGCTCGAGTACTTAGCAGAGGGCCTTTCATGCTCATGCGGGTGACTGCTGCCTTGATTGTTGTCATTAACGAGGATGCCTCGTGTTCACTACTGTTTGGCTCTTTATAGAAAAAACGCCAGAAGCTGAAGCGTCGCCAAGAGGCTGATGATGACGATGAGCTGGAGACGCCCCCACAGTACCAAGGTGAGCGTCAGTTTCCCTGGACATGAAGGCCCATCACCTGCTGCAGACATCTGTGGCACCACAACCCTCTACTCTTCAGTTGGATTCAATAATCCATTGCAATGGACAGACACACAGAACTCAGAGAATACTCAATATTAACAGGTTACAATACAAGATCAGAAAATGCTCAGGGCACAGTAGTTCCCTTCAGCTGCTACTAAATGTCCACCAGACACACCAATCTACCATAAACTTCAGCCTGAAGGCACTCAGCACTAGCTCCCTGGGTCAGCAAGCCTGGAGGCCCCACCTCACTCTACAAGCAAGTGTCCTGATCCCAGTCACTCTGCTTGACTTGTTCAAGTTACAGTGAACTCTGCTAGTATCCCTAGCTGAATCATGTCATCCTATCACATCAGTATCGTTTCCCGCTTTCTCTGAGCCAGACGCAGCAGGGCAGAAACGTCGTTTGGTGGGAGTGATAGACTGGCAAGAAGAGATGTTAGATAATTCACTACCGCACACCTGAACTGAACCGGGAATTCCAAGGAGGGTGACAGAGCTGGGAGATTCCTCAGTTTGTCTGCACTCAGTTGGCACCCACAAGACTGGCTGATGTATCACCCTATTGTGCTTAGATTTGACATTGGCCCGATCACATCATGAGCCTCTGATTCCTCGTTGTAGAGCTCTCTCCAGTGCCTCAGCATGGTAGGAATCCATCCAGGACTGTGAGAGTCCAGGCTGAAAGTGATATTGTAACCATGACACTGGACAAGCCAGTTTTCACATCTGTCCATGGCATGGATACTGGCCTTTCTCACTCACAGTGTCAGTGTGAAGCACCAGTGATCGAGAGGTGGGAAAGCCTTAAAAAACTATAAAGTACTTCATTTTACTGATGAGGCTAAGAGACAACAGAAACTTAAGAGACTTGCCTAAGGTTAGAGCTGGTGTGTGGCAGAGCTGGAACCTGGGTCTGTATGACATTCTTATAGAAGGTCTTTATCCCTGATTAGCAGGAGTTCTAGCCAAGTTCCTGCCTTTCCCCACCTCTCTAGAGAGAAGATGTCCATCATCTTCCTCAGCTCTCAGGTGCCCACAGGTGGAAGCTGCCTGACTCTGGGTCTCTGTTCTTTTTCTAGCTGGAGGATCTGGCATCCATCGGCCTTTGGCTAAGAAAGCTATGCCTGGAGCTGAGTATAAGGCCAAGGTAAGAACTGAGGGTCTCCTCATGCTGGATGATGCCAGGAGAGCAATGAGGAAGCAGTGTCTAGGAAAGGGGGAGGCCCATTTTGCCCTTGCCTGTCCCCAGAAGGCACCTTTGTGGGTGGAGCTGGACTGGGGACGCCCTTGGACTTGGGGACTTTTGTTGAATTGCCTTCCAGTGCCATACTGCAGCTCTTGGGTGCCACCTCAGGCAGAGAATGGAGTGGAGGGCAATGGCCTGTCAGTAGTTTGTGGGGGAGCAGGGGAACCCCACACTCCTTGTTGACACTGTTTCTCTGGAGCAGAAAGCAAAGGGTGACATGAAGAAGAAAGGGCGACTTGACCCCTACGCCTACATCCCCCTCAACAGATCCAGGCTCAACCGCAGGTATACTTTGGGGTTAAGGTTGGAGCGTGGGATAGGTAGGATCTCAGTGCTCCAAGCAAAGGAAACGTATGATGGCTGAGTTTCTTATGAAACTCTCAACACAGTTGTTGAAGTCTCTTTCAGTGTTCTGTTTTTGTTTTATTTTTTAACAAATATGGAATCCCCACAGGTGGGTATCTACTGTACGTTGTTGTTGTTGTTGTTGTTGTTAAGTGCCTTTGCATCAGTTCCGACTCATAGAGACCCTGTATAGGGTTCCCAAGGAGTGGCTGTTGAGTTTGAGCTACCGATCTTGCAGTTCAAACCAACTTTGAGGTCGAGTGCTTATCCTATGGTGCTACACCAGGATTCCATCGATTGTGTGTGTGTGTGTATCTTTATTTTTTTCGTGCACCTACATGTAGTTGGTGTGTACATACTGTGACATAAACTTCTTGCTTAACATGCTATTGTGTCATAGAAACATTTCTCAAGGAGCCCTGATGGCACAGTGGTTTAGCCATCCTCTACTAACTGAAAGGTTGGTAGTTGGAAACCACCAGCAGCTCAGTTGGAGAGAAGACCTGACAGTCTGCTGACGTCAAGATTACAGCCTCGGCCTGTGTCGTTGTGTGATGTCAGTCCATTCTGACTCAGATTACAGTCTAGGCCTGTGTTGGTGTGTGATGTCAGTCCGTTCTGACTCAGATTACAGCCTCGGCCTGTGTTGGTGTGTGACGTCAGTCCGTTCTGACTCAGATTACAGTCTAGGCCTGTGTTGTTGTGTGACGTCAGTCCGTTCTGACTCGGATTACAGTCTAGGCCTGTGTTGTTGACGTCAGTCCTTTCTGACTCAGATTACAATCTAGGCCTGTGTTGTGTGACGTCAGTCCATTCTGACTCAGATTACAGTCCAGGCCTGTGTTGGTGTGTGACGTCAGTCCGTTCTGAGTCAGATTACAGTCTAGGCCTGTGTTGTGTGACGTCAGTCCATTCTGACTCAGATTACAGCCTCGGTCTGTGTTGGTGTGTGACGTCAGTCCGTTCTGACTCAGATTACAGTCTAGGTCTGTGTTGTGTGACGTCAGTCCGTTCTGACTCAGATTACAGTCTAGGCCTGTGTTGTGTGACGTCAGTCCATTCTGACTCAGATTACAGTCCAGGCCTGTGTTGGTGTGTGACATCAGTCCGTTCTGAGTCAGATTACAGCCTCGGTCTGTGTTGGTGTGTGATGTCAGTCCGTTCTGAGTCAGATTACAGTCTAGGCCTGTGTTGGTGTGTGACGTCAGTCCGTTCTGACTCAGATTACAGTCTAGGCCTGTGTTGGTGTGTGACCCCGTACAGGGTTTCCGAGGAGCAGCTGCGGATTTCAACTTCCAACCTATGCTTGCCAGTCCAGTGCTTATCCTAGAGCACCACACCAGGGCTCAGGAAACCCTCTAGGGTGGTTCTACTCTGTCCTAGAGTTGGAATCGACTTGACAGCACCTAACAACCAATGTTTACTCTATCTCTGCTGCACAGCCATCTTTTCTAGCATCTTTGTGTTTCATTTGCTTTTGTAATCCCCTCTTTTCGGAGCTCTGGTGGTCCAGCGATTAGAGCTTGGCTGCTAAAGGAAAGGCTGGCTGTTCAAACCTACGCAGCAACACACCTCCAGGCGTAGATCTGACATTTTGTTCCTGTAAAGATTACAGCCAAGGAAACATGATTGGGCGGTTCTCCTCTGTCACATGAAGTTGCTATGAGTCAAAATCGACGCTACAGCACTCAGCAGCAAGTCCCCTATTAGTGGTAAATTGGAGTTGCTTTTACGGTTTGGCCATTAATGGCCAAGTGACATAACCCAGAGTGCTTTGGAACTAGTATTATACAAATATATGAGTAAGCAGTGTTCTAAACTTCCATCACAAAGCGTACTTTGCTGGAGACAAGTTGCTTGTGGATGGGAGGTGCTGGTAACGTGAGCTCTGACCAACCATCTCTGTGCATGTACATGGGGCGGTACCAGAAGAGAGGGACCGGCCAACTGAGGAGACGACCCTGCTGACAGGGAGGGCTGCTGGTTCTCAGTGAAGTGTAACCTTTTTGTTCCTTGTCCCCACAGGAAGAAAGTGAAACTGCAAGGACAATTCAAAGGCCTGGTGAGAGCTGCCCAGCGAGGCTCGCAAGCAGGACACAAACTCCGCAGAAAGGATCGCAGGCCCTGAAGTCCCAGAGCCCCTGGGGCTGCTCTCTGCTCCACCCTGAGGCCTCTTCAGCTTCCTCCTGTCTTGACGTCAGCCCCAAGTGCTCAAGATGGGCAGAGCCTGCAGTCAGAATGACGTGTGGGAGCAGAGCTCAGCTCTCAGATCGGTGCCCAGGATTTAGTTCGCTCCAGAGGGGGACTGCCCTGGCATCTGGAGATGCAAGTGTGACCTCAGTACCTCCTAGTGGGTCCACCGAGGCACCGTTCTTCCTACCCAGAGTGGCCTTGTGCAATAGAATGGACGGTCCAGGACCACCTAGCTTATCCCTCTCCAACTGCTTGTTGCCAACTTATCAGCCAGATCTGGTTTGGGATTTGACGTTTACTGTGACTAGGCTCAGAATAAACATGAACCGCCCCGCATTACCCCTAGATAATGTGTCTCATCACCAGCCCTCTTCGGAGATAAGAGCAGTATTTGGTCATTGGCAATGGTAGCTTGATCCTTTCCTGTCCACTTCCCAGCCTCCAACCAGGGTGCACATGACATGATGATGTGCACAAAGGCTGCTGGGCTTTAGAATTTTCCCAGGGACATCCACCTGTGTCAGGAGACTTATGCCCTCAGTTGACAGTCCCAGTCAGAAAGTGATGTTTGGCAGTCCGGGAGGAGCAGCAAGTGCTTTGTGAACACTAGGGACTCATAAGGGGAGTGGGGAGAAGAGGGGCTGAATACTTGCTGCCCCAGACTGCCCTTGTGCAACAAGACCCTCGCCCCCAGCAGCTTTGTTCATTTATCCAACACAGTGTCTACTGAGCGCCCTTCATGTGCCAAGCGCAACCTGATTCACCCATTCCCTTGTTGGCTCACGTCCTTTTCCCCTGGACAAGTGGATCAAATTAGATTGTAAATGTGGCTCCACCTGGTCCAGCCCTGATCTTTAGTCTGGTACTGTGAATGCAAAGGCAGAGGCCTTTGGGTCACTTGCTCCATCAGCCCTCGTTCTGTGGTGTGTCCTTTCCCAGCAGACATTGAGAGCCTGGATCCTCTCCCTGTAGGGGGAATTGTGCTTTGTCACCTGACACTTGATAGTTTTTCTCTTCTTAAATCCTCCTCACTCCTCGATCATGTCCATTCCAGTTTAATGTCCTTGGCTCTGAGAATGCCCAGGAGGCCCTGGATACCTCTCATCCTCTATGGGGACTTAAGTCTTAAGTTGGACTCACTGTCCCAAAATTTGAGCATTCCTGCCTTGTGTTTTTGGGCTAGGAAGCCGAGAGGTACCATACTTCACCAGGAGGTGGCGCTGGGTGCATGCCTTGGTAACAGCCTAGAATTGGCATGCAAGAATGGGTCCAAATGGGTGGCTGTTCTAGGAACTTGACCCCCCTTATTACACTCTAAACACAAGGTGGGTCAAATTAAGCCAATCTTACTTTCTCAGGAAAAACAGTTACATACCTTAGGAATCTTTGTGTAAAGTAGGTTTGGATATTAGCCAATTAACCAGTATTGATGTTTTTTTTTTAAAACAAACAACCAAGAGTTTGAAGCCAACCTGCTTATTACAGCGTGTTTTCCAAGGAAGTTTGTTTTCTTTCCGCGGTGGAAGTTCCAGGTGACCTAGATCGGTTAGTATTAGTGGCATGCTGAACTCTGTACCTATTCTTGCAGAAGTACACTTCAAATGCCTCTTATCTGATGGCAGAGGCAGGGATTAATCTTCCCCAGAAACATCAGGTTCTTGAAACGTTGCAATACCAGGCTGCTTCTGTTTCAGCAACACTGGGGGTACGGGAGCACCCGCAGCAGCACCGCTTGCTCAGTTCAGGACAATTAAGAAAGTTGGGGACCCCTACCCAGATCCTCATTTACTATGTGAAGTTCATGACGCTTTTGGCATTGCTGGAATCTGAGATTTTTTCAAACTGTTTTCCTTGGGTTCCACCTCTACTCACACTTAGAATGAAAGACACATCCCTACCTGACCATCAAAACAGCAGCACTAAGTGGGCCGAAGAAATGGCCAGTGGTTACATGGACTCTCACGTTGGGGATTTACAAAGGCAATCTAATTATGACCCCCATTACTAAGCTTCTGGGCACAGTTGGGCCTGGTTTAACCAGTTCTGGTGGTGGTAGTGGTGTGGAGTCATTTCCAACTCAGCAAACCCTGTTTAGGGTTTCCAAGGCTGTAAATCTTAACAGAAGCAGAAAACCTCATCTTTCTCTTGCGGAGCAGCTGGTAATTTCAAACTGCTGATGGGATGATTAGCGGCCGGACTCAGAACCACTACGCTTCAGAGCTCCTTTAACTAGTCCTAGCCCTTCACTATTTCCTGCCTCAGCCAAAGTAACAATGTGAAGGTGGCAGCAGGATTGGTGGTAACTGAGCAGTTCATCCCCGGCAGTGGCTGGCTTACTGGTCTGCCATCTCATATGCAAGCCTGCCTGGGTCCCATGTTACCAGTCCCAGCAAGGATGGTTTTTACTCTCTCATTGGCAACATGTAAGGAAATTGCTATGAAATTTAAGTCTTGTTTTAGTACTCAGAGCCCTTTCTTCCTTCTTTTTCTTGGTTGCTTATTCTTAAGTATAATTTTAAATATTCTTAAGTATAATTTTAAAAACTATAATGTATTTTATATCTACCAATGAGTGATACAGGTTCACAGAACATTGGGAAAAAATAGAAAGCAAAAGCAAGGCCTAGAATCTCCGCTTCAATCTCACTGTTAGCCCCACTGTATTTTCATTCCTGCCTTCCTTTCTGTTGATAATGTGCCATCAAATTGATTCCGACTCCTAGCAGCCCTTGTATCATTTTTTTAAAGCACACTGCCATTGAGACCATTCTGACTCAGTGATCCTATATAAAGGACGATAGAGCTGCTCCCATAGGGTTCCCAAAGCTGTAATCTACAGAAGCATACTGCTACATCTTCTGCAGAATACTTAGTGAGTTTGAACCTCCAATCTTTTTAGCAGCTGAAGAGCTTTGGTTGTTTTTCTTTTTTTTTGCTGTAAAAGGAAGTTTTATTTTCATTTGATCCTTGGCTTAGGAGAGAGGGGCTCCAGGGTGGTGGTGATGCTGCCTCTATGGCTGGAGGGCGAGGTTCAGGCATTAGGTCTGAGGAGGGCAGGGGAAGGCTGAAGGCCCCTCAACAGCTCGGACGGACTCATAGGCTCCTAGTCATGCTTGTGGGTGGACCTCTGCAGGAGAGATTCGCCCAGCCCTGTCTGAGGGTCGGCCAGCCTGCAGGGTTGGCCAGGTTGTTCATCTTCTCGAAGTTTCACTTCCTCATTGAGAAGGTCAAAGTCACAGAGATGGGAGGGGCTCTGTGGGTGGTGCAGCTGTCCAGAAGAGACTGGTTCAGGTTCTTCTCCAGGGCCAGGGTAGCTTCCATGGTATCCAGGCTTCTTCCCCACGGCTTTTATACATCCAGAGAGTGCAGCTGCCACCCTGTTTTTGCTGTTTCAAGAGATGTTCAGCACCCTCACACTTGGCCATTTTTCAGAAGAAGTGTCCCATGCCTTCCAAGACCACATCATCTCAATTGAAATAGAAGTCCAGAGAGCCATGGGTGTAAGCCATAGGTGCAGGCTGACCAGATTGATGGTTGACACTGGCCTCCACGTAAGAATAATTCTGACAGATGTGAGAACTTGTGGCCGAGGATTTGGAGCTCAAGAGCTCTGGTAGCGTAATGGTTACGAATCGGGCTGCAAACCTCACGGTCAGCAGTTCGAAACTACCAGCTGTTCCACGGAAGAAAGATGAGGCTTTCTGCTCCCGTAAAGATTTACAGCCTTGGAAACCCTGTACTGGGTCACTATGGGTCAGAACCGACTCAATGGCACATAACACACACAAAAACTCTGTTTAATTGATCCTGGAAATAGGATGGCCAAGAAGGTGGTCCAAGAGACATGCCTAAAGAGGAGGTTAGAGGTGTGTGAGGTGTTTGGATAGAACAGATCTGGGGAGTTTCCGAATCTGTTCTATCCAGACACTTGAAGCAAGAGACAGATCCACACAGGACTGCTGGGTGAGCTTAGGGCTGTTCATTTGTGTGTCTTTTTTTTTTTTTTTAATGTAATAATTTTCACTTTGCTAACACAGATTTTGGAGTCCTGGTGTGGTACTGTAGGGTAAGCACTCGATCATAAGGTCAGTTTGAATCTCAAGGTTGGCAGTTCAGGCTGACCATCTGCTCCGCGGCAACCCTATACAAGGTCCTTATGAGTAGGAAACGACTCAATGGCATTAACAACACAGATTTTATCCTTAGTGAACTGGTATAAACACCTGCACAGCGAATGTAGCTCAGTTTATTTACAAAGGATCCTGGAGCCCATCACTATGCTGCTGCTTGCTGTACACAGGACTTTAATGTCATCGCTGGACCGTGTGCAAAACAGTCTTTAGAAGATGCCATGATGACTACTCTTTGTTCTATTTTTGATATACATTATCATGAATAGAGAGATGACTGTACTCTAGAAAATAGCACTGATTTGGGGCAATGTTTGCTGGCTGCCATTTCCTGAAATGATGCTTAATGTAGCTACTGCCATTAGAAACACTCAGCAAGCTGACCGGGCAGTGGTGACAGGTTTTCTCCTTGACTGGTAGTGGAAATGCACAGGATTTTGAGGCTGTGCTCAATAATCAATAAAAAGGACCTAATAGAGACGTGGTGGCATATCCATTAAGCATTCAGCTGGTATAAAGTTTGGCAGTTCAAACCCACCAAGCAGCTCTGTGGGAGAACTACCTCACACTCTGTTCCCATAAAAGATTACAGCCAAGAAAACCCTCTTGGCAATTCAACTTTGTCATCTTGGGTCCCTATGAGTCAAAATCAACTTAACTGCACCTGGTGTGACGGTAGAATAAACACTTGACTGCTAACCATAATGTTAGTGGTTCAAACTCACTAGTTGCTCCTAGGAAACCCTATACAGGGTCACTGTGCGTCAGAACCAACTCTACACCATTTAACAACATGATTGATTTA